CAGTGGGTTTTCGCATTATCAAGCGGGAGTTTTTGGCCGTTTGCAATTGTAAATATGTTTTTTTTTGGGGGGGGGGGGTGAAGGAGGATAATTAGTCGTCAATATTTAATTTTAGCTTTCCTTGTGTCGTTTTTTGCATTCTTGTTTTAGTAGAGATTTCTTAAGAGCATTTCATGTAGTCTCAATGATTAAAGTTGGTAAAATCTCCAGTGTTCTGCAAATTGAAAATTGCCGGGTACTCTAGTTCGTTAATCCAAGAGTATGCTAGATTAACAACATCCTTCGTTTCCAGAAATCCTAGATGTGTCTCTTATGTTTTATTTTTCTTCTACTGCCGATTGCTGCATTTCCAATCAAGACCGTCCTCACTGCAATCATATAACCGTTTACAAGTTTAGTCCTTCCACTTATTTAACATTTCCATAAACCAAGGGTCACATTTATCGCTAAAATTCCGAAGAAGTCCAGAATTTTGCAGCCAGTCAATTAAAAATCGTAAACAAGGAGCACGCTGAAACACTGTTTACAATCATATAGAGCGGGTGTTAAGCTTTCTATTTTACGTCACCTGCCTTGACCAATCACAGCTTTGAAATAAGTCACCTGCTTATAATCGTCATGACTTTGAAGTGTCGTCGAGAGAATGAAAGTTATTTTTTAAAGCTTACATTTCTACATGTAATTAATAACTTTATTAATAAAACGAAGTTTATTATCATATAAAACATGACGAGAAATTAATTTTTTTTTTTATTATTTTTCTTTTTTGCATTTATTACCTTTTAAGCAATATAGATAAAATGACGCGTGATCCTCTTATAGCGAGAGAGCACGTGCTTTTTCTATGTAATAGTAATTTGTTCGTAACGGTAGACTGCAGATGTCCTTCAAAAACATATTTCAGAATTCAATTCTTATAGCATATTTAATTTATACAACGTGAATTTTTCTCATTCATTAAAATACTTTTCTTCCCTTTTCATGTGCTAGGACGATCAAATATATTTCTCAATTAATATCGTTCAAACAATTTTTGCACTTTCTCCCAACAATCTTTGCGGAGAAATGAAGATAAAAAAATTATCATTAAGTCAAATGCTGACTGCCATTTTTCGTAATGATTGTTAGGTCATTATTAACACAGTTAATGGACATCGGATTTTTCCTTATTTTTCCGCCGATCATGACAAGCAGCACACCGCCGAGGTAGCCGTTCTGCAGGGGGAACTCTCTCCTCCATGGCACTTGTTCCCACCTCTGATGTTTTGGAGGTCAGCGTTCTGTATGCTTCTTTTTTGTATTGTTTGACGGACATTTAAGCTTGAATACTGATTATTATTTCTATATATTCATTCAAAAAGCTAAATTAACAACCATTCTTACCTCTAAATCGCATATTTGGACCAATATTTACATGTCGGACCCATTTTTTTCGTTTTGAAAACTTTTTGATACTTATGACTGATATGCGCTTAAGTCGTTCAAATTTGATATTAGAAAATTGTATTTCCTACATAGATCTTTCATACCCTATATATTTTCCTTCTTTAAACAATTAGATCAAATAACATTGTCTTTGAATGTAAGGTTTCCTTGTTCACAATGAAGCGCATTGAAGTGGTAAAATTTTCCATTTGGATGAAACGTTCTGAGTCATGCTTTGACCGTCAATTATAACATAACGACACGACCATTTCTTTAGAAACGAAAAAGAAATATTCGTCGTAATGTTTAGGGCACCCTACTTTCCGCGACAAACAACATGAGTTACACTAAATTGAAGACTTTTGAATAAGAAAAAAAAAACTATATAGAAAGTCCCCGCTTTTGTTAAACACGCATTGTAACGAATTTGTACATAATTATGATTTAATCATGTTTATTGGAGTTAGCATAACACATGTATCAGTCGAACACGTGCTTACTCGGTGCTTATGCAGACCGTCAATTTGATTGGCTGCTATATTTATGCAATACCTGTTCTACAGGTATTCGATTGAATCATTTGACCGATTTTTTCCTTTCTAAAGAAATGGGCGTGTCTTAAGATAGCTCAAAACGTTCCATCCAAACAGAAAATTTTACCACTTCAATGCGCTTCATTGTAGATATGATTTTAGAAGACATTTTTTTTTATTTTACATATGATAATGTAACTATAACTCATAATTCTATTTCTAGGAAAGAAATTCTGCAAAATTATATGTCAGATGGAAAGTAAAAGAAAATTTCTCTTACAACCAAACTGAATTCGATTTACCATTCCTTTACTTGATTCCAAAATTTCATAAAGATTCTTACAAACAAAGATTAGCGGGTTCCAGTAAATGTTAAATTAAGCCTCTTTCTTTATTTCGCACTATGATATTACCATTAGTGAAGGGAGCGTATTCAAATACATTGTATTCTGTGCAACAATATATTTGCGAAATAGGTAAATCAGATGTTAATCAGATGAGATTCGAATGAACTTTTGAACAATTTGAAATAACAAGATTTTACTAGTACACTACACTAGTACACGGATAAAAAATTACAACTTTTCAATTTTATGCACAGCCAGTCCCAAGTATAAATCAAAATCCAAGTTTTTTTTATATGACTGGCAGCTTCTTTTGTAATATCGAAGTACTGAAAGAACTGAAAGTCGGTCTTTAATTGCTCGAGAATATTGTCTGATCCAAAATAAGTACATGTTTGGGTTTTTTTCCCTTTAGTCATTATTGTTTGACAGATAGAGTTTGTATGTTTATGATTAACAATATCCCATATACCAGTAATTAAAATTAACAGTCCAGACTCCAAGATAAAGTACGATTTTAAAATCATACTTAATACATTTCCGAGAAATTCTTGCATATTTCCTAATGAATTATTATTATATTATATTATATTATTATATTAAATGAATATTTTTTTTCTCCCAATTTAGAAATTTATTGTTGGAATAGTTTATATAATGTATATATTTCAGAGATATTCTTAACTTTCAAACAAACAATACTTTTACCGCCAACTTCATGTAGAAACACTGATACATGTACATTGTCAAGCGATGTCACGCAGAACGTAGATAAATTCTTTAAATTTTAATTCACTATATTATTAATGTGTTAAAATTAACCACTTACAATATATACAGACGAAAACAATATGAAATATGAAACTCTTCAACAATTTCAAACTTTCGTAAAGCCCGCCCTATTGATAATAATTCGATTAAAATATGTATTCAGCAGCGTATGTGCACAAATTGTTATATCACGAATATCTCAATAAAGCAAATATCTAACTGCTCTTTTAGTTTATTTCTCAAGCAAAAATAGTGATTATTAACTTTTCTAACAATAGGGATTCTAAAAATAATTGTTTGAAAATTGTCTCACCATGTGATTATTTTTATGGTTTATCGGAAGCGTCTGCTTTGACGCTGTTTGGTTTTGTGTTAACTGTGCTATTCATGGTAAGACAGTCGATCACGATGACTATAGCCAGGACTTTGCTTTCAGCAAAGCCGGCTAAAGAATGGAACTCGAATATTTACTCAACTATGTTAAACATGTAGAAAATGCTATCTTAACACCGTTTAAATATTTAAAACGTTTGAAAAAAATGTATGAAAGTAGCCTAATACCTGAAGAAAATTGATAAAGCTATCCATAATGAACAGGGATGGACCATACACAGTACAAGTTATATCACATGTATCAACTGTTTTTCAACTTGTTATAGTATAAAAATAGAATTGTTAAGCTGAACGTAGGATATGAGGATAATGCAAGGGCATAAACTTGTTTTTGAAGAAAAAAATGGTACATTTAAGATGTTTACTTTCTCTATCAAAAGTGATGGGAGCTAGTTTCTGCCGTTTGGGAAGTACTGAAAATTGGTCAAAACTGTGTACATGTAGAATAACTAAAATTTTCCGCTCCGCTAAAATTCTGTTATAAAAGAACTAATGTTACATTGTATGCAGACTTGAATCAGCTCCCAGTACTTTCAAAAGTGTACACCTTATAAGCGATTTATATTCCATATTTAAGTCCGAACAAATTAGCCTATGCATGTTTGATGTAAACTACATATACGCTAATTTTTCTTGCGATATTCTAAAAATCCCTTGTCCATGCGCAGCCACAATGCTGCTAAATGAATATATATTTCGTATATATTGTATTCATATTTTTCTTTTAGTTTTAATGATTAGGTTTTTAAAAACTAGCGATGATTTCATATTTATTTCAACATTTTTTTTAAATTATTAATTCAGTGAAGTTATTCCTCTGGATCGCTTGAACTACAAAATGTCAAGGCTGGTGACGTCATATTTGACGAGATACTGTCTTCTAATACTCAACAGAATTGTTATCAATTATTGTCATTTTACAATCTATTTCATGCTTGGATATTTTATTTAAAAAAGACGTTTATCTTACAACATTGTTCTACGGTCAACGTGATGAAACTAACATTACAATATTCAACACCCATTAATAATGCAGTGATATACCTTTCTTACCTGCATACTGAGTTTATGCATGTATTTCGCAATTGATTCGATACGCATTAAAAAGGCAGATTATTGACAAATAACTTGATGATTCAAGAATAGCAACAGTCTCGTAATAATTTCGTAAGTTCTAGGGTCGATATGATGACCTTTTTATCAAATACAATTATTATTGTTTCAAGTGATGACTGACGTATTTTATACAAACTGATAGACCATTTTAAACATCTGTTGGATTTTCCCGTTATTTCACGATCATATCAAGGAACACACAGCAGTGTGACCTGTGGGCAGGGAATGCTCATTCCTCCATGGCATCTGTTCGACATCTGATGATTTGGAGGTCTGTGTTCCATTGCGCCTGTTTTGTATTGATTTTATCTATTATTTAGTTTGAATACTGTTAGTTATCTCCATATATTTTATTGGCATGAGATTAAGAAATTTTTTCTTCATGAATTTTTCATTAAAGAGAAGAAAAATGTTTTGCTTTAAAACATCTTAATCTAGGAATGAAATAAGTGATGAGTTTACTGTGCTTCATGTCAAGATTTAAGTTGGCAAGTCGTAGTTCGAAGGCGGGCTCAGATCCCCAATTTCCTGATACTCAGTGCCAAATTTCTTTCCATCATCAACCACTGATATGCAAGTTGTTCCTTCCTCTTTTTCTTGTAAAGTGGAACCACTAAGATGAATCCTGGATTTCTCTTTTATCCCAGTATTCCTAGAGATTTTATTTAACGGTGTTAAATAAATGATAGATCAAGAATTATCATTTATATTATTATCTATGTTACATATTTGATGTTGTTAAAAATGAAACTAACAATAGAAGTATAGATTACCGTTTAAATTTGATGTATAGTGTAAACACGCCTAGGAGAATAACTAGAAAACAGCATATACCAAGAACACAATAGAATTGTATCCTCAGGTCCTCAATAACATCCACGATTTGTTCTTCGTCTGTATCTAAAGGCATAAAAATAGTTCATGCAATTTTTTGTCAAAAATAACAAACAAAAAATACTTGTAAAAGAAAGAAATTTTAAAGATTTACAACCTTTCCAACATCTGTGTCCTTTCCAGCCTGTTTTACAACCTCCAAGGCAGATACCGGAAACATGATGACAAACAAGTGATTTCTTACAAAAAAGGCTACACTCTTGTTCACAGTTAGCCCCATACAACCCAAAGGAACAGACTACAATAAGTTCATAAAGACTTCATAAAATATCAAATAATTAAAGAAAAAAATGTTGTGATAGTGAGTTGAATATTTTAATCATGGATATAAATTTATTTTGCTGTTATCAAGATCAAAATTTAATTAAAGTAAGACAAGTAGATACAGGTCAAATATGTACAACTAAAATTATTCGGGCGTGGATCAGATACAACGGGGTAGTCAGTATCCACCTGATGTTCAGTCATCAACTTGTTTGTTAGTAGATTAACATCTTTTTATTAACTCTTCTGCTCGATTCAACTGGGAAATATTAGTTTAGTATGCAGATGATAAGAGTACAGTGGTTTCAATTATAACATTTCTTTTGCATCAATTTTCGTGGATTTAGTTTAAATTGCAGTTTTTAGGATAGGTAAATTCGTGGGTAATGCATGGTTCTTATAAAAAAATATTTTTTTTCAAATTTTTCTTTCGACGTTTGCTTTTGTGGGAACCAATAAAACGCAAATTATAAATAATACTAACATGTAAAAGCTGTCAAATTTTATTATTCATATTTTTCTCAGTTTTTCAAACTTCGAAACCTGCAAGCGTTTACAACGCAGTATCATATGGTGCACATGTAATAATCAAGGGTGAGGCATTCAAAATACCATCTCAAATGCAACACTTTGAACTTAGATTGAACATTGCGATATCGGATATTGAAATTGAATACAAAACAATATTATCACAGCTAATTCAATTTATGCCGCTATGAGAAATATATTTCACACCTTAGGATAATTCCGCATATCCCTGCGCAGTCTGCAGGAAATGCGCCTTTATCGCAGCGCAATTATCATATAACCTTTCATCGCGAAAGCGCAAGCGTTCCTTTTCTTGACAGAGTAACCCAATCAAAATCCTTGATTTTGTTGCGCCATTTTTGTTAGCCTGGTAGTGCCTTGGAAAAAAAAAGTTTGTGGAAAAGGGGACCTGCGTACATGTAGCCTCAGATTTAACTATTGGTCAGCTTCTTAGCGGAGAATCATCGGTCCCTGTAATTTATGCAGTGGAAATTATCCTCATATCGTGGAACCTATTTCGGTGGAGGCACAGATGGGTTTTGGCAGGGGTTGCTGTTTACTTCGACAACCCTCTATGAAGAATTTGAAACACGGGGACCTTTTCGTCCATGCATTTGAGAAGTTCTAGGAATGCAGTGATTGTGATTTCCTGTCAATTAAGGGCAGTATTGTTTTTGGTCATTATAACAAAACAAATAATGTTTTAACACTGTTTAACGTTTACATATTTGGAGCAGCTTTAAAATCATTGTATATTTATACTTAATTTTGGTTAAGCTGCATGCCTTTATAAAATACAGGCTAACTGGCGGTGCAACAGCTAGGGCAAATCATTTTCATAACTTATATTTATTTACCATATGTACCTGTTACCGCATCATGGGTTCTCCTTACGATTTGTCTTTCTGATGTTCAGTAAATTCATATAATGGAAATAATAGCATTCATGTCGAAATTATTTTCCATATAGTTATTTAACTTGTATTGTAGCTCCGATTATGATACCCCCTTTTCATCGAGAGAATTATTAGTGGTCTCGGCGAATGAAATCTCAATATTACCTATCATGTGTACCTAATCTATTTACAATCATGTTCCATTGGAAGATTCTGCAGCTGCATCAAAATTGTGAATTTTATATGACTGTTTGATTCTGCAATTTAATTTTTCCTGTTTACACTGGAGTGAATAACTTGCCTGATCATGGAACCTGTTTACGCATAATTTATGGCGGTGGTGTCCTTGATGGTTGATAGAATCAATGTTTACACATGGAAATATTGGATTGTTTACAAACACATGCATGTGTTAAATCAAGTATTAAACTTTTTTCAGTGCCCATGCACGTGTTAAATCATTTCAGCAGATCAAACTTTCTTCTATAGTATATTCATGATAATTACTAAATTAAGACATTTCTAAGTGTGCCATTTATAATAGTTCTATCATTGAAACATTGTTTTTTTTTTTTTACTTATGGGAAATATAGGTTGTGTCATTGGGATTTGAATGCATTTCAATCTTCTGCCTAATGCAGTATGCAAATTTGAGATAAAATAAACCGAGAGCAATTGATTATCTGCACAAAATGTGTCAAAGGGGTTATCGGTCATTTAACCTGTCCGCTGATCTACACATGTTTGCTTTTTTATGAATCTGTGTTCGAGGTCAATTGGGTCACCACGGGACGTCAGCTGGAGTATCGTGGATTATACTCTGGCCTCACCGGGGGTTCTCGGGGAGTCTCTCCTATCCTTTCTGATCCTGGCTCTGGATGGAGTCCATCTTCAGTAAACTCCATTCACTGTCCAGCGTATGTGGAATGTTCTTTTGCTTGTGCGTTTTATCATCTTTTCAAAGAAATAAGATTCAGTACACCATTTTATGTTCTATATCATTTTTATATAGTCTTTATTATATTATGCTCAGCTCAGGGCTATATAAAGAGTTGTGTACTGTTTCTTACAATATTTTGCATATCCAGTTAACAATTTACAGAATGTTTAACACATTTTCTCTAATGATGTGAAGATATCAGTGAAGTTGATCACCATTTTTTGCAGCATTGGAAAAAGGGAACATTTGGTAATTGCCATATATCTGAAGACATATTAATTTGTTACTAGCTGCCTTACATATAATTCTTAAGGGGCATTATCCCTGTAAGGAAGTCTCAGCAAGGTTTAGTATATTTTAATGTTCAGCAAAACCCTTATTAGTTTGTTTTGAAACATTTAATATGTCATTTTAAAAATGGTTCAGTATTAAAAATAATAATAATAATAATAATCAATCTGAATCAGTGAAATATTTCATTATATAATAGCCTTGCAATCAATGGCAATTATATTTTCAATATATTGTTTCACTCGTACAATGTGCAGTAGAAACTTTGGTAATGTTTTCTACATGTCATTTGATGTAATCTTACAGTACTATTTTCAATAGTATCATAGTATCAAAAAAAAAATAATAAAAAAATAATAATAATAATAATGTGCATTTTAATAAATAAATAAGTATAGAGTAGAAAAATTCAGAAAATGTTTATAAACATTTAGTTTGAACATTAAGAATATGTTCAAGATACTTTTGAAAACATTCAATATATTGTTCTAATATTTGTGAAAACATTCATTATACAACATCGATTAGTTTGGTTTGTTTTTTGTGAATGTTTAAAGTTTTGAGGGAAACATTCAGTATAATGATGAAAAGTTTTCCTGGGAATTAAGTATAATTTTATTTCAAAAATTTGGGAAACATTCCGTTCAATGTTTCATTGTTTTTGTGCAAACATTCAGTATAAGGTTTCAAAGTTTCTGAAGAAACATTCAGTATGCTTCATTATCTTTGTGAAACATTCATTATAATTTATATTTCAAAGTATTTGTCTCAAACATTCAGTATAATGTTTTAAAGTTTGAGTCGATACATTTATTATGTTATTTCAAGTTTTGGGGAAGCATTCATTATAATGTTTCAAAGTTTATGTTGAAACATTCAGTATAATGTTTCAATTTTTTTTGTGGAAGCATTCAGTATAATGTTTTAAAGTTAATGTCGAGACTTTCAGTTTAATGTCTCAAGTTTGTTTAGGAAACATTCAGTATAATGTTTCAAGTTTTTGTGGAAACATTCAGTATAATGTTTTAAAGTTTTTTTTTAGAAACAATCAGTATATTGTTTCAAAGTTTATGTCTAAGTATTCAGTATAAAATTTCAAGTTTGTTTCAAGCAAGTTGATGAAACAAGAATATCGACAGTCTCGTTTAAAGTCATCATTTCGTAAATTCTATGGTCGATACAATGACCTTGTCAGCAAATACAATTTATCATTGAATGAAATGCTGACTGACGTTTTTCATACCAATTGTTAGTCCATTATTTATACACTGAATTGACCACGGATTTTTTCCGTTATTTCCTGATTATGACAACGAGCACACGGCGGGTGTGACCGGTCGGCAGGGGATGCTCACTCCTCCATGGCACCTGATCCCACCTCTGATGTTTCAGAGGTCCGTGTTTGCTCTGCTCTTATTTTTGTATATTTGTTTAATGGACGTTGAGATTGAATACTGTTCGTTATTTCCATATCCTTCTTTCGGAAACATTCAATATAATGTTTCAAAGTTTTTATGGAAATATTCAGTATCATGTTTCATAGTCATGTATTAGTGTTTGTGGAAACATCCAGTACAATATTTCAATATTTTTTGTTGAACAATAAGTATAATGTTTGAATTTTGTTTTGGAAACATTTAGTATAATGTTTCAAGTTTTGATGGAAACAAGTATGGTGTTTCAAAGTATTTGTGGAAACATTCAGTAAAATGGTTTAAAAATTTTGTGGAAGATGCAGTATAATATTTCAAAGTTTTGTGGCAGATGCAGTATAATGTTTCAAAGTTTTTGTGGAATAATTCAGTATAATGTTTCAATGTTTTGTGGAAACATTCAGTGTAATGTTTCAAAGTTTTGTGGAAACATTCAATATAATGTTTCTAGTCTTAGTGGAAACATTCAATATAATGTTTCAAAGTTTTGTGGAAACATTCAGTATAATGTTTCAAAGTTTTGTGGAAGCATTCAGTATAATGTTTCACAGTTTTTGCTGAAACATTCAGGGTAATGTTTCAAAGTTTGGTGGAAGCATTCAGTATAATGTTACAAGTCTTTGTGGTAACATTCAGTATAATGTTTCTAGTCTTTGTGGTAACATTCAGTATAACATTTTAAAGTTTTGTGGTAACGTTCAGTATAATGTTTCAACGTTTTGTGGAAGCATTAAGTATAATGTTTCAAGTCTTTGTGGTAACATTCAGGATAATATTTCAAAGTTTTGTGGAAGCATTCAGTATAATGTTTCAAGTTTTCTTGTGGAAACACTCAGTATAATGTTTCAAAGTTTTGAGGAAACATTCAGTATAATGTTTCAACGTTTTGTGGAAACATTCAGTATAATGTTTCTAGTCTTAGTGGAAACATTCAGTATAATGTTTCAAAGTTTTGTGTAAGCATTCAGTATAATGTTTCAAAGTTTTTGTGGAAACATTCAGTATAGTGTTTCAAAGTTTGGTGGAAGCAATCAGTATAATGTTTCAAGTCTTTGTGGTAACATTCAGTATAATATTTCAAAGTTCTGCGGAAGCATTCAGTATAATGTTTCAAGTTTTTTGTGGAAACATTCAATATAATGTTTCAAAGTTTTGTGGAAGCATTCAGTATAATGTTTCATAGTGTTTGTGGAAAAATTTAATATATTGTTTCATAGTTTTTGTGGAAATATTCAGTATCAAATTTCATAATCATGTATTAGTGTTTGTGGTAACATTCAGTATAATGTTTTTAAGTCTATGGCGAAATATTCGGTAAAATGTTCAAAGTTTGTTTGGTAACATTCAGCATAATGTTTCAAATTTGTTATGGAAACATTCAGTATAATGTTTCAAAGGTTTTGTGGAAACATTCAGTGTGATGTTTCATTGTCATGTATTAGTTATTGTGGAAACATTCAGTATACTGTTTCATAGTCATGTATTAGTGATTGTGGAAACATTCAGTATAATGTTTCAAAGTTTATGTCAAAACATTTGGTATAATGTTTTAAGTTTGTTTTAGAAACATTAAGTATAATGTTTCAAAGGTTTTATGGAAACATTCAGTATAACATTTCAATTTGAAGAGGAAAGAACTTTCAATAGTATGAGAAACTTAAAATAGATATTTAATAATTTTTTTCATGCAGTACATGAAGCATTTAATCAAGACTGTTCTGAGAGTCTCAATGTAAAATTGTTTCTCATTTTATTTGGGTTCCAGTATCTACATATTCCTAGGCTTTAGTAGTGCATTACACTCATACACTATTTACCATGGTATTCTGTTACTTGTAGCAGTACATTGATGCCAAGGGCCAAACTGAACTATAAAGTGGTCAACACCTAACTTCATGCAGTACCATCTAAGGCACAAAATGGAGAGGCAATGGAGTCTACAAATTTCAGATGGCGGAAATTGTGCAGTATTGGAATGACAATTGAAAATTGTTGAAACAGTGCTCTCAAATCGAACCTCTAATGCGGATATATGATCAAGCGATCAACAAGATCATTCAAGAATTTAGGTGCTCTGGACATGATGCCAGCTGTCTTCATAGTAAACTATTGGAAAATGATGCCACCAAAGTTTGAAATCCACACCACCAGGAAGGACAAGCTACACCTCAATATGCTCAAGCCCCTCCTATGGATTCTATGTGGATTTCTGTGTTGAACGGCAAATATCATTTTCTCCAACAGATACTGCCAAGGAACATCATATAGAGTAGTCAGCATCTGTCATTTATCTACTGTATAAAGTAAGATGAAGCAATGCATTAGCTTCTTATGTAACATTATTTTTTCTATCATTGATGTTGTAAATCTGGTCATGAGGCCAGCAAATGGTTTTTCATATACTGCACAATGTACATCCTCTATTGTCATAAACTCTGTATAATTCAGCTCAATTTTTTATAAGGTCAGCACTTAGATGCTTTTGTAAAATGTATTTTAGTTACTGAGCTTAGTGTTGATATACTTGTAATGTCTCCATAATCTGCTTACTAATGTCAATGAGTTCAGCATTGAAACCGGCCTGCATAGTCTTTGAGCTACATGTAAGATGATGGCTACTCATTTAAAATGTATGTTTAAAATCTGCCAGCATAGACTCGAATTAAGATACATAGTTCAGCGGATAGCTGCTCATGTAAATTGTATGTTAAAATCTGCTTGCATAGTCTTGAGTTAAGATACATAGTTCAGTGGATAGCTGCTCATGTAAATTGTATGTTAAAATCTGCTTGCATAGTCTTGAGTTAAGATACATAGTTCAGCGGATAGCTGCTCATGTAAATTGTATGTTAAAATCTGCTTGCATAGTCTTGAGTTAAGATACATAGTTCAGTGGATAGCTACTCATGTAAATTCTATGTCAGAATCTGCTTGCATAGTCTTGAGTTAAGATACATGAGTTCAGCGGATAGCTGCTCATGTAAATTGTATGATGAAATCTGGCTTGCATAGTCTTGAGTAGACATACGTGAGTTCAGCGAATTGCTGCTCATGTAAACTGTGTGTAAAAATCTGCATGCATAGTCTTAGGTTAAGATACATGAGTTCAGCGGATAGCTGATCATGTAAATTGTATGTTAAAAATTCTGCCTGCATTGTCTTGAGGTTAGATTAAGACCCTCATAATTGGCTTCCCTTGATCCACAATTGAACAGCTAACAGGTGAATGTTAATGTCTTTGTTGCATCAGAATTTGTTATTTGTCAAGAACACCTAGTCTTAAAGGTATGTGATATCATATGAACTTCAACTTCAATGTTGTTCTATAAAATGCTGTAAATTTCTGTATTTTACTGTTTTTATAAAAATGTTTTCTTTTGATTTTCTCCTTGTTTGGCGTCAACCCCTCACTGCGTGACACTGCGTGAGGGCTTGTGGCGCAATTGTTTGGACGCGTCCAAGGATTTACTCATTTATGTTTTATTTTATGCATATTTACATGTACTCTGATATGTTAACTGCATGTAAATTTCTAGTCAGTCTCAGGGGGATCACACTTGTACTTTTCACCTATGTACATGTAACCTGTATTGTTTAATATTAGGTGATCTCCCTTAATGATTTGTTTTACATTTTACTTTATGTCATTGAATTAAATGACATAATCGACAAAACTGCATATCTGTGTTTGGTTGTTTTTCACTGCACTATCGGGCTGATATTTCTCATAGGAGGCATAAAAAACAATAACAAAAATAAAACAGAATTGCATGGAATAAACGTTTCAGAAAAAAAAATATGCAAGTATCTCAAATATAAAGACACCAAGGAGTTGACAGAACTATTAAGAACTGTTTTAAAACTCTTTTTACCTTTGTTACATAGTAAACCCTTATAACCAGCAGAACACCCATTCAAGCACGAACCGTTCTCAAGATGGCATTGCGCTGACTCATGACAATTGCCACATTGCAAGTTGCAATCCTTTCCATAAAATCCACGTTTACATTCTGAATGGATTAAACGGAAATAAACACAGTTATGTCCCTAATACGTTCTTTTACCTTTTAAACATGTAAATACATATTGAAAACGTAACTCGTGCATGAAAAAATACAACTGCTGGATCATATGCGCTTAGACTTTTATCTCGTAATATAATACATGTACTTCCAAAGATCATAATAATATAATATTAAAGAACGGCTTTCATCAAGTGATTTCGTAATTTTGTTCACTTTTATTATTTAAGCGATAAAGTTTTTTTTTTAAACACAAATTACGCTTTATTTTACGTTCATGCACCAAGTAATTCACAAAGAAAACCCCAATCGGCCCTTTAAATTATATACCTTCATCACAGAATTCCCCCTTCCAACCAGGAATACATCCATTATCACAAATTCCATTTATTCTGTTACAGCCGATACAGTGCTCGTTACAATTCAGTGCACAGTTTTCTCCATATAATCCCACACTACAAGCTAATGAAAACACAAACAGACATTTGTTTTGTAAAAATAAATTGCTTTTCAGATGTTCTGGAATATTTATATGTATAAAATTTCAGATGTCTGAGATTTGTGTTTATTTGTTTAAAGATCTTGATGTACATTAAGATATTGTTTTACGTCCATCTAGAGAATTTTTTTCTCATTCAGAAACGCCAACGCTAGCTGATAGAGGATTGTAAATATAAACCTATACTTTGCACTGACGGCTTTTAAGTATTGAGTATTCTTTTCGTATCAACACCAACTGCGACAAAAAACTTCAATTAAAAAAAGTCCCATTCGAAGGGAAGTCTCCATATCGCGTATTTGCTTCGAAACCACAACGTAAGAATAAGCACCTTAACTTGCAATTCCAGAGAAAAGGCCCGTGTAACACCTAACAATTTCAATTTCTGAAATAGTTTGGGTACTAGAATTTTAATATATTAGTTCAAATTTCTAAATTACAAAAACTGAAACTGATTTGGAATGTTGATTTTTAATGTTTTAGATCAAATATCTGAATTTTTAAGTTTCCGAACTCAAAATCATTTTAGAATTTTGAATTGTAAAGTGTTACACGGACCGAAGAACGTCTCAAAATCTGTGCCAAGTTGGCGTCTCTCGAAAACGTCGTTTTGTTTCAAAGAAGTAAGATATTAAACCAAGTAACTGGTGTCAAATAATAAAATTTTGTAAAACGTATTTAAAAAAAAATTACTCTAAACTACTTTCTAAAATTTTACTTTGAAATGTCAATGCCTTCTTCATACATACTTTTTGACTGCTTGGTATGATTAGTAGGGAAAGGGGGAGGTAATTTTTTTGCCGTTGTCTTTTCCTTGAAGATTATTCATAATAAATAAAGTAATTATAGAGAAATTCATAGCATACCAGGAGCAAGGGTTGCTCTGATTCCAAATTCTATGTTTGGTTCTGTTGTGTATGCTGTAAAATTAGAAGTTGAAGATACTGTGTGTGCCGCTGTAGTAGAAAACTGTATCTGGTCATTGCTGCTACCCACACCGTTATTAGTTCTGATGAACTCCACTATGGTATTTCCTGATGACTTGCTTAAATGAAACAAAATTTCAAATATGATTATAATATGATTGTATTTCGGCAAACTTTCGAAATGTCTCTAAAACATATAATGCCATAGTAAACAAAAGATTATCATAGTTACATGTCATAGATATTTGATTTCAAGATTTTTTGCACCCTTTTTTGAGATTAGGGAATATAGATTTTGTTCTGTACACTTATCTGGCTTTCTCTCTCTGTATTTTTTTTTCTGTCCACAGGAACTTTAACCTTAATTATTACTTTTGACTGGCTTTAGGTTTGAACTTAATATTTACATTTGATTTTTAATTGCAAGACACTTCATTAGGTACAAACGTATTTTTGACTTTTGTGACCTTTGAAATGTACCCATATTTGCAAAATGTTACCGAACTTTAAATATATCTCAATTTTAAATTTTGAACTTTTGGTGATAGTGTACTTAATACCAAGTCCATGTAACAACACGTTTCCTTATGTACCAACACTTGACCTTTAACCTTATTAAACCATCAACTTTAAAACGATTGGCGGAAGGACTTTCATTTGTAAGATGTGTATTGAATGTGACAAAGCATCCCACTGTGTACAAGTGTTAATGAACTTTTGACATTGTTCTTGTTTTTAAATTTCACATTGGTCAAAATATTAACTTTTAAACGGTTAGTTCTAATGCTTAAACAGTGGCATGGTGTTTATGGTTCTATTTCCCAAAGTTTAAACTAGTTTACTTTTAAATTGAAAGCATGATTTTTGTCAATAACTGATTTGAATACCGGTTTGTGTACTGCATTTGGCATTTGACGATTGACGAAAAGTCTTTTTTTTTATTTTTTTTTTATTTAAGTGAAAGAAAGCTTCATTGTTTAATATATATTTTTTTTTATCTTTTTGGTCTAGCATTTTATACAATCGTTAGATGTCTGAGATGCACAATCAAATTTTTCGAAGAAACTGAAGACGAAGGAAAAAGTGAAGTAAAATAAAAGAAAAACAATACCAATGAAATGAATGACACCGAAAACCCATTTTATGGTTAATAAAAAAAGAAATTCTATAGTTAGGTATGATATATAAATATAATAAGTATGTTAATCTTACAATGCAAGATAATCTCCACTTTCCACAGCTATTTGATCTGCCAGGGGGACAACCTCGTTTTTCAAAATTCCAACATCTCCGGCTTAAAAACATAAATATGTATGAAAAATGCAGCGTAGCCCTTAATAATTCCATGATAATTTGCAATTTAATATGATTACCACAATGATGGAATTAAAAAGAAATAAATTACTTACCCGGGACATTAATTTTATTAACACCAATAAGAGTCCAGATTCCTGTTACCTGTCGCCACACCTCCGCATACAAAACACCCGTACTTGCAATCCTTATATCCCATTCAATTAAAAACCCACTGCAATTCATACGATATTCATTGTCCTTGCTATTTAGGAGAAATGTTGTCCCTGCAGAAGATATGTAAACTTACATAAAAACCAATTTGTTTAACAAATTCAAAAGGGGGCAACATTTAACTAGATCTGATGAATAAAAAAAAAAGATTCTTTTAAAGGATATATGATACAAATATGGATGCTACGATCTTTTTATTTAACTTAATTTAAATAATGCTTATATTATTGCCAAATCAAAAGGAAATTCTTTATTTTCTTTTTGATGAAATATCTTGAAAACAGCCCTATAAATATAATCGCAAGATAGTTAAGGCTACATATGGAGGTTTATCTGCAAAAAATCTGATGAAACCCTCATGGGGGTTTATATGCAGAAAATCTGATTAAAGCCCCCAGGTGTTGCAACCACGATTGAAATAATTATTTTGATAGTTGTTGAGATTGCATTTCAATAACAAGCATATTATGCAGCCACTATTGAAATATGACCACTATTGAAATATTTATTTCAATAGTGGTTCGGGGTGCATTTCAATAACAAACATAGGTTGCAACAACTATAGAAATACAACCGTGATTGGAATTATTATTTCTATAGTGGTTTAGAGTGCAGTTCAATTTAAATAATTGTTTTGATAGTTGCTGACGCGCCTGGGGATTCAATATTTATACAATAACTATTTAATAAGGAACATGTAAAACTAAACGTCAATTAATACTTAACTTAATTATACGCTTTGATTGCTGACGAGATTATTTTATCGATCTAAAACATTGAAAAATGAAGACTGCCATCAAAACATATATATTTTTTCATCAGACATCTTTGTCGAAAGTCTGCCTTATAACCCTTGTACACTTACCAATAGAAATGCTATCTGTCCTATCCCCAGCTGTCTTACCGACTTTGGTGCCATTTGTACACTGGTTCCTTGCTACAACAAATAAAATCATATTTTATGTTAAAGTTTCAAAGGGTAATATGCTGTAGGAATTCGACCATGGGCTATGACGATAGTTTAAAACATGCATTTGTATTTGGGTTTTCATAATATGTTCAATTCTGTATGAATTTTATTTTTATATTTTTAGGTTAGAGGTGATGGTGCGACCGAATCACAGAGTGTGGTTATATTTTGTCTACATATTTTTCTCAAGGTGCAATTTATTTTGGAATAACTCTAAATTGATAAGGATGAAAACGATAGAAAGATAAACAATATCGCAATTTTTCAATCATGAGATATACTTTTTTTCTGGATTTGAATAAGGCTTTGAACAGGTCCAGTCCAAAGACTATTTCTACCTACGTAGGTATTAATAGCTACCTAGGTATTTAAAGCTACCCAAAGTAGCTATTTTACTTACTTTCTGCTTTACTTGAATTTGTGGCCAAATGCAGGAACGGCGCAACATGGTGAGCACAAAATTTCTTGATATAGTAACACTGATGATGAATATGACAAAAATTTGGCCAAAAAATGAAAACTTCGTATATTATCAATTTTGCATAGAAACTAATGTAAAATTGCCGATTCAGGAAGTAATCATTTTTTGGCCAAAATTTTGTCGTATTCATCATTAGTGTGACCATATCAAAAAATATGGTATTCATCATCTGGCAGAAATCATATAAAGTAGGTAAAAATAGCTACTTTTGGTAACTTTAAATACCTAGGTAGCTATTAATACCTACGTAGGTAGAAATAGTCTTTGGACTGGACCTGTTGAATACTAACCTAAAACCGCATTTACCTTTTTAATCCGAAATGCCTTTAGAGTAATGTAAACTATGACAGGCGATACTATCGCATAAGACTTATAATATTTGAACATCTTATGGTTAGATTATTCTTAACATCAATCATTTTTCCTTCACTTTAAACATTTATTTCATGAGCTCGCCAGCTAAACATGAATGTAAACATTCAAATGTTGGAGCGAGAAGAACTACGTCATTGTGCGTTACAACATAGCAATACGGCGGCCCATTCGTGAAATAAATGCAGTTTACTTTAAATTTATTCGTCTCAAATGTAAATATAACATGTATAAGTAATAAACAATAATGTTAAAAAGTTCTTTGGGAAATGAACTTTAAGTTGGAACGTGATAAAATCTACTGAGAAGCCCTTCGGGCTTCACAGGATTTGACCACAGTTTCCAAATTATTGATTTAAAACAATACTGCTTATAACATTAATATAAACTTTTTATTCATGTAAAGTGTCTCAATTTAAATGTAGTCCATATGAAGAAAGCACTATATATTGCTTAGAGAATTAACTGGAAACACATCTATTTATACTGGTGTCTCATTATATCGCGGTAATTCTTTTACATAAAAAAGTGTAATTTCAAATTTTTAATTTAACTTGTATCAAATAACACTCATAATTCTAACTACGGTCTAAATTTTTAGTGTCAAAATATTTTCCAAGCTTGCATCGTTTATTTTGTGGTCTATTTTTAAAACAGGAAGTCTTATTTACCTCCTAAATTGGAGAGTTTTAATGCATCGCTGTACGGGAAAACATGGAAACTCGTAGATGACATGGACGTCATTTTTTTTTATTTCTGAATTTACGATATAATTCTGCATAAAAATTTACAATTGTACTCACAAAAGACTTTTCAAAGACTGATTTTATTATGATTTTTTTTACGTTATAAATATAATCGGATTTATGCAGTGAATACGATATAAATCCATTTATCACAGCGCCCCACGCGGTATCATTCGCACGCAATATACTCGCAAAGCATTGGAACAGTCAATTATCAACTACCCTCAAAGATACACGTCTTTCTTTGGAGAGATGCATAACCGCAAGTCGTCCGCAAATGTGGTTACATCCGCAAAAACGTCTACCAGAAAAGAAAAAGCTGACACCAAATCCAACCAAAAAGAGGGGAAAAAATGACAACCGTACTATTCACAGCATGGAAGAGGACATTAAAGAGTCTGCTAGTTCAGTAGGTAGGTCTGACTAATAACCTACTCCTATTGTTAGTGCTACTGATGCATTGGGTTGCACCATCCCTTCAAAAACACGCGAAAAAATACAAAATGGGGAGTTTTTAGATTTGGCGTCCTGTTGGAAACGTCAGAAAAAAGGACAAGAAAAATAAGATAAACCTAGTGGACGGGGAACTGGTGTTTACAAAAGGCGAAAAGTGGCGAAATCAGCGATATCGGGAAATAAACCGACGCATTCCTGGTATTTACTAGTATTTACGTCGAAGCTCACACCGATCAATCATTTGGTTTACTTAAATATGTACACACGGTTAGGCTGGGTTCTTATAGATCTCCCACCGGCTGGAAGTTGTACGACGAGCAATTTAGGCTTAAGAAGGCAAGAAATAGTTCTATGGCATGGGGGCAAATCGACAATGAACTGGATGTTATACCTAACTTCATCGATTACTATTTCCCAAAATACAGTTGAACCGTTTTGATTTTAACGACAAGGGTGTATGTAGTAAACCTTATCGTATTTATGCACATCGTTGTATCAGGCGTGAATCCGACCACCCAATGTCCACTTGTCCTCGTAACCCAGCCCCTCGCTTCCCCATACAAAAGCAGCCTTTTCGTTTTCAATCACCAAAACTGCAACCACGCCCAAGCCAAAACCCAGATATCGCTATTCCCAGGGGTTAATGCACCTCGGTAATTCTCCAGTAAACATTAATCAACTTTCAATATTGATACAGTCGTACCAAAAATCATAATTTAGGCAATGAGTTTTTAAATGGGCTTAAATTTTGATTCCCCCTTCAGTATCTAGTTCCATGCACTCACTTGGATCAAAAAAAATTTCGGCAAACCAGTATCTGAACAAAATCCAGAATATATTGCAAAGTAATTGATATGAGTCGCATGGCCGGCCCTCTCTACAATCTACCACTTTCGAACCTAAGGGCGTCCCCAATAGGCGTCGTGCCAAAAATCTACCGTGTGGGAAGTGGTGGGGGTGGCGCTTAATTACTCATCCGTCATATCCACATAACAATAGCGTCAACGACTTCATTGAAAAAATTTTCATCTGTACACTACTCATCATTCGATAGCGCTATCAAAATGATAGGTCAGCTTGGAAAAGGCTCTTTATTTGGCAAAATAAAAAGTGCGTTTAGACTTTTACCAATTCAACCATATGATTTTTTTTTTTTTGTTTACTTGGCTTCACATTTGAGGGTAAATACTACATTGACAAATGTTTTCCATTTTGTTGTTCTATATATCATGCGCTACATTTGGGAAATTCGCGTCATTTTCGGAATGGACCGGCAGGTCACAATCTGCTTACCCGCTTGTTACGCACTATCTTGACGACTTCTTATTTGCTGGATCCGCGAAATCCGACGCTTGCTCAAGACTCATGAGACAATTTGGGGAGTTATGCAAAGCACTGGGAATTCCTCTTGCCATCGATAAAACCGTCAGCTCCGTCACAAAATTTACTTATCTGGGTTTGGAAATTACATGACTGGGGCAAATCTGTATTCCCAACGACAAACTAATCAAACTTAAGATTTCGCTGACAGAAACAGCAAATAAATCTAAAGTCACTTTGAAGATCGAGATGCAATCTCTCGTTGGCCAATTAAACTTTTGCACCAAAGTGTGCGATCTTCTAGCGCCTTTAATCTCCGATTTTACGACGCGATGATTGACGTACAAAGGCAGGATCATTTTATCCGCATAACAAAATCCATCAAAGACGATTTGCTCAGGGGCTCAATTTTTTGAATCAGTTCAATGGCATATGCTATTTAAATGATGTTGATTGGTTAAGCAATGATATTTTCAATTGTATGCAGACAGTGCCAGGGGAAAAAACTTAGGGTGCGGGGCACATTTAAACGGCAAATGGGCCCACTTTGCTTGGCCTTCAACATGGTAGGATACGGAAATTTTAAGAGAAGTTACCTTTTTAGAGCTTGTTCCAATAGTTCTGGCAATGACATTGTTGGAAGAATACTTCAGACCAAAAAATGTTATAGTAAGAGTAGATAACGCAGCCCTTGTCTACATCTTGAACAAACAGAGGTCAAAATCTAATAGAGTAATGCACTTTGTTGTTTAGGATTCCTATCAACGAAATATAATTTTAGATTTAAAGCAGAACATATCCCAGGTTTACGTTATAATAATATTAAGATTTCCACCTCAGAATTACGGACTATACTTCACATTTTATTATTCAGAAAATAGTAGAAGGATTGAAGAGAGACACTCCAAAGACTCACGTTTACCAATAACGATTCAGCTCCTCCATTAATTAATTAATACATTACCAGTTGTGCGCACATCGAGTTACGAGGCGAGATTCTTTTTCGCGGCGTTTCCTTGGCCTTTTTAGGTTTTTTTGAGTCAGGGAATTTACAGTTGGCTCTAGAAATTCAAAAGCAGCACTTCTTAATAACGATCTTGTTATGAATGAATCTTCATCCTACTTAGAAGTTCACCTTAGGAGGTCAAAGACTCACCAGTACGGCAAAGAAACACAATTAATTATTCCCGCTATCGGCGGTCCTTATTGCAGCCCGGAGGACCGGGCTCTATACATATAAGTTTAAGTGTTGGTATATCGGGATTTGGGTGGGAGTAGTTATTCAAAATTAAAGGTCTTGAAAACATTGAAAAGATTGCTAATCAGAATGTTCTTTCTAGAAATTCAAAAGCAGCACTACTTAATAACGATCTCGTTATGAATGAATCTTCATCCTACTTAGAAGTTCACCTTAGGAGGTCAAAGACTCACCAGTACGGCAAAGAAACACAATTAATTATTCCCGCTATCGGCGGTCCTTATTGCAGCCCGGAGGACCGGGCTCTATACATATAAGTTAAGTGTTGGTATATCGGGATTTGGGTGGGAGTAGTTATTCAAAATTAAAGGTCTTGAAAACATTGAAAAGATTGCTAATCAGAATGTTCTTTCTCTTAATAAACTACGAGATACATAATATATTTACTTCCATAAAGTGAATATGTAAAAAAAAATATGTATGTTATTCATATTTAATATATAAAGTTGTATATCATTTACTATCGAAAAAAAACGACAGGTCCTTTTTTTAGAACATCAAATTTTACTTCCCGCATAATTCGTGTTTTATATTTTAAAATTGAAAATTAAATACATTTTCGAATTTAGGTGATGCATGTGTCTAACTTCAATTTATATTTTATGCAGCCAACATTTACTCGAGGAATTGAAGGTTAAAATGGTATTCGTTTTTGTTTGACATTTATCCGGCTGTAAGTTTTCCAAATATTCGCGACTATCGTCTCCATCAATTCGACGCATGCCTTTTCACACATATCGAAGCGGTGTGATGATCAAGAGTCATTTCCATGGTTTACTTTATATATTTCCCGGGCGACAATTGGTGGTTACATCAAAGGTTTTTTTGTTGTCCGTTGTTACTAATGCGCAAGTATTTACAACAAAGACCAAACATTTCTGGTCAATTATTTTGTCATTCCGGCGGTAAACCGCTAACTAGATATCAATTTAATTCCGTCTTAAATAAATGCCTCGCGGCTCTCAGTACATCTAGATGCAACTATAAATCAGACTCCTTTAGAATTGGAGCACCTACATACTTTCACTCTAAGGGCTGTTGATGACGATACAATTAAAATGTCAGGAAGTCAGATTGTTATCGCCTCCATATTAGGACCCTGGCATTCAAATAGATTGACAGCTTGAAACTCTATCCTTTTTTCGTTCCAGAACATTATTAAGATATTTGGATCATCGGGTCATCATTAATTTCATGGGCCTTTCTACCTGCGATTGAATAAGGTTTCACATCTGACCTTAATTTCGACAGGCATAAAATATTGTGGCAAGGTCGAAGAGGAATGCGCTGGAATGATGGCTTTAAACTTTTTAAAGCATGTTACGTTCATTGATCCACCAAAATTCTTGGTATTAAATTGTGGAGCAAACGACCTTGGCCGTATGAAGACCATTGAATTAATAGTTGCAATAAAAAAAAATTCAAACGAAACTTTCGAACACTAAGATAATTTGGTAGCAAATGATAACATGGATTGCCTGGAAATGTGAAGGGAGACCTGAAATTGAAAAAAAAGTAGGGCGCGAGTAAATAGCGCAATTGCAAAACATATTTTATATCATTATAATGGAGGGTACATTAAGCAGTCAAATATCCATCTTAGTCCCGACAATTACCGCCCTCACTGGGGCCACCTCTCTACGCCTGGTAATGAGCTGTTCCTGAAAAATCTTAAAAGTAGACTCACAACTATTATAAACTCCCAAAAAAATGTGTATTCATTATGATATGTATCGGTGCGGTCACGGCTGGATTTTTGTTTAAGCTACCTCCACATTGGTAGCGGCATGCATATTTAATAAGTATCTATGCACGTTTGGCGGATTTAGACTTGCGCCGCATTTACATTGAACATTGATTGATTTATTCGAATATTGATTGACTTAACATGACCATACTACAATACATTGATTTGAATGAACTGAAAATTGATTTGTTGAATAGTGTTTGAACATTGATTCATCAAATTGAATATTATAGATCGAATTGAGCATTCATTGATTGAATTGAACACTAATCGATTGAATTGAACATTGATTTAATGCATAAGACTGACGCAACTGCAGGAACTTTGAAGCCAAACGTCAGTCTTATCCTGTAAAACTTTGACATGTGTAGAGTTAATATTGATTGATTGATTGATTGTTTGCTTTTATTGCAGGTGTGCAAAAACAATTGGGTCTACACCAAATTACATGATTTACGGAGAAACTGGAATATTCCCTTTGTACATCAATGTTTTTACGAGAATGATTACATACTGGTCAAAGATGTTTACATGTGCAGAAGATAAAATTGTCAATATTGTGTACAAGTATATGTATAACCAATTAAGTAACGATGGTATTAAATGTCAATGGATTGAATGTATTCAAAAAATTCTAAATAATTGTGGACTTTCATTTATATGGAATGAGCAAGGCGTTGTCAATGCTAAATGGCTAAGTGCTATTGTAAATCAGAATTTAAAAGACCAGTTCATTCAAAAATGGTCAAATGACATAAATAGTTCTTCCAAAGGCCAGATTCACAGAATTTTTAAAACCAATTTCGGATTTGAAAGTTACATTAAAAATTTACGCCCAAAACAAAGAAAGTTATTGATGAAAATGCGTACCTCAAATCATCATCTACCTGTAGAAACAGGGAGGTGGTGTGGCACCCCATTAAATGAAAGAGTATGTTTACTTTGTAACAATGGAAAGATAGGCGATGAATACCACTACATTTTAGAGTGTACAGCTTTTTCAGAGATAAGAAAAAAATTTTTACACAAACGTTACTGCACCAGACCAAATGTTGTCAAGTTTTATGAACTCATGGCCAATTCAAATATACAATCTTTACAAAAACTATGTACATTTATTTCAAAAATATTTGAGACTGTCTGTCCTTCTTAGCTGTCCTCCTGGTATTTTCTTTTTGCATATACTTTATAATTACATGTACTATATGTACATCCTCTCTACATGCAGTTGTAAAACATTTATTTATGTATATATATTTATATTTAATTATTTATATGTGTGTATATTTATACTAAATGTACCTCTGACGACTTTATAGACACTGTATATACTTTATGTTCCTCATGTACCATGCTGTATGGTTTGAGCGAATAAACTGATTCTGATTCTGGCACCCACTCTACATGTGTATTTTGTATAATTGATTTGAACCAGCCGTGGACATTAAATGCCAAAATTAAGAAATAAATAATTAGGAAACAATAAATTCACTTATGTTTTTATGTAGAGTCTGTGATAATGCTCTCAATATAATAAAAACGGGACTGGAAATCTGTAAAATTACGTTTTATTTGATTTTTTTTTTCAAACGGATGTTCCACACTTCTAAATCATCAAAAAAGTAAACATCCAGACAGCACACATATTGTCGATCAACATAAAGAATAAAGACCATGGATCCAAATTTTTGTAATATACTGTGATACAATGAAACCCGCGATATAATGAGAATCAAGTATACATGCAATAATGATTTACTACATATAAGATATAAATAGACGACACAAGCACTAATTATTTAAAACTTTATATTTATATCACAAAAAATTCATTTATGTCTTTCTTTTGTAAAAAGATATATGTAAAGTTGAGAAAAAATTGTATAAAAAAAAAAAAAAAAAAAAAAAAAAAAAAAAATCCAATACCACACCACGCCCTAAAAATACAATTAAACACCAAAATAAAACCTTAAAGAATAATTAAACAATGAAGTCACCAAATCAACCTGTTTTAGCATAACAAATACCTGATCAACATTCAAACTTTAGTTTCTTACCAAAGGCATTGGAAACTAGAAGTATTCCAAAAAGAAAACACATCCCATACATGATTGTAAACATCTAAGTTTGTGTATCTAAAACAGGGAAGTAAATTTTACAATGTGGGAGTGCAACTCTTCTTTAATCAGCAAATGTACATTGCAGTATGACATGTAATTTTTTTTTAAAGCGTGAGAATCATCAATCACAGATACACGAATTTGACTTTCTTATATTGTTCAAGTCATCGGATATCCATAATTGCTATGTCATGTGGTAAATTGAGATTTATTTTTACACAATTATTTTTTTTTATTTTATATTCAATATTTTTTTTAAACAATCAAATGCCAAAAAAGTTGATATTTAAATATGTTGATTTGAATTTTATTCTTGACATTTATTTAAAATATTTAAAAAAATGATATGTTTCTTAAGGATCATTAATAATATTGTTCTTTCAACTTTACTACTTCTTTTTTCTGATTAAAAATGAGTATTAAAATATCTGCATTGTCATCGAGTACGTCTCATAGTTTTAAGACAACTGACCCGCTTCCTATCTCCATAGAAACGACAGTACTGGATTTCCCGAAATGACAAACAACGGAAAATGGGACCTGTCAAGGACAGCTTTGCCATTCACAATGGGATTTTTTTTTAAATACAGAAACGACATGAACGAGTCAGATGCAGAAATTGATGTAGGGTCTATTCAAAAACAGGTAAGGAAAAAAGTATCCGATACATATGTAACACGCTAAACACGATTAGAGGAACTCAAAATTACACCGGTGACTGATGGAATTAAATGGAATTATGAAGAATCTCTGTCTAGTAAGGAGAGTATACCAGGGACATCAACAATAGTGGGAAACATGGGATAATTTGCATAACGGGCGAAGCCCGTTATGTTAAAATTGTCACATGTTCCCCACTATTGTTGATGTCCCTGGTATACTCTCCTTACTAGACAGAGATTCTTCATAATTCCATTTTTACTTGAAAAAACAATCTGAAAATAAAACAAAATAGCGGCAAATTTGGTAGATTTGAAATGCTCGAGGCATTCTTTGTTATTTTTCATTACCCCGCCCCATGACGTCACATAGGAGTCGGAACCGGGGGGGGCTAGGGGGGGCTTAGCCCCCCACTTTTTTTCCAAATATATACTTAGTATAGACATTGAACATATCTTCGTAAGTTTAGCCCCCCCCCCCCCACTTTCCACAGATACGTCTTAGTATAGGTTAAAATTGGGAAAAGTGCTGGTGTTTGGAAGAAAACTTTTGGTACTGGAGTTCGAACCAAGCCCCCCCCCCCCCCCAAACACCCACCCACCCACCCACCCCCTTCCCCACCCACCTACCCACCCACCCCCCCACCCCCCCACGAAATAGGATTTTCGTGTTTGGGAAATAGACATTTTCTTTTTCTGGAGGTACAAAAAAAATATTTCTTACACTTAGCCCCCCCCCCCCCCCCACTTTCAATTTGCTTCCGACGCCAATGCGTCAAATTCTACTATAAAAAAATAGTCCAATACAAAAACGGAACAAATTTAATGCTTCTTTAGTTATACTGCAGTCAAATATCAACATTTATAAAATAAACAAAAAAATATAATATGATCAAAGCAATCTTAAAGCTTGCTAACTTTAATTATACATGTGACCTAGATTTAGGTTGTCGGAAACACGGATACCTGTATAGGCCCTAGCTAGGTCACTTCTCTACCGCCATATTGAATGCAATATTGCAGTTGATGAAACAGGAGTTGTTCAGCATGGTCAGAAAACAGAATTGTGTGTATTAAAATAAAAGAGGACGTTGCATTGCATATGAAGTTGGGTGGATACATGTATGACTAAGGGACGATGTCTGTATCGGATATATGTAGCTATTCCGATTTCTCCCCGTGGTTGAGATGGGCTTTTTAACATGTTTACGGAAGTGAAGTTGTCGGTCTCGCCAGGCTTCGATGATAATGGACAGTGTTGAGCTAGTGACTTGCTTTTGATCCGAAGATAATTCCTCATATTATTTTGTTTGTAAAAAGATATATCATATCTAATTACTTAGTAAAGATTTAAACAAAACATCTCTCTTTTTTGTTCAGTTTATTTATACACCACTCATATACATGCAAGTTTGACATTTGACCTTTGAGTAGTATTTCAATAGAGAAATTTACATGCCACAGAATTCACGGAGAAATTAACAACATTCACTTTTGTAGTGGTTATCATAGGAAAACCAATTTGAAATGGAAATATTCCCCGTTGTGAAATAGAAAGTACATAACCTGGAATTTTATATGAAAAAAAAACTGCTTGAAGATTGCAAGGACACTAATTTGTAATGTTAGTTGAAGCAAAAGTGTGAAGAAGTTTAGATTCATGTATGAATAGGACAGATTTCTTTTGGAAAATATGTCTTTGAAATTAATGGATATGGACTCGATATATTATATAGCAAAAATGTATCATTTGTTTGTCCCTTATAATAATTCAATGTGTTTTATTAAATCTGAATTCGCCTTTTCAGAAAATATCTTGTTTTAAAATTGATTTTTTTTAACAAACACAACAAGAGCTGATTGAAAATTTTGACGATCATATCTAATGTCTAAAACTTTACCCAATTTCACTGACTTGAAATGCAACTTAAAATGAAACAAAATTCCCCTACAAAAAGACCAAGTAGCACTGTATTTGTTTTTATAACTCTCAAAGTTAAACAAAGAGAAACTCAATTTTCTTATAATTATAACATTCTTCAAACTTGAAAAATATCACATTAGAGTACTGGAATTGCATATATTATGTAGCTTATTTTGGGGTTATTAATGCCATACAGGTATGTGTAAAAGTAAAAATAGTGTTCAAGGATTGAATTCTTAACATGAAAGCACACAGATGAAAGTCACATTAATCAACATGTCTCTATGAATATACGAGATGCACTTTATAAATGAGAATAATAATTGGCTCCACTTTACCTTTGATCTAAGTAGAGGATATGTAATAGTATTTCAGTAAGGACATAAACATCTTCTACATGTGTAAGTTGATCTTCCTTGTCCATACTTAACAAAATCAGGATTTTGTACAGTTATGAATGGTTTATATGTCCTTTCATGTGCTCTTATTTACGCTCAGGCATACGGTAAGAAAACATAAATTTATTTGAATTTTTTTTTAATTATTATTATCATTCTTTTAGATTAAACAAGTTTGAATGACAAAGTCCTCATTTGTACACTTTTACAAAAACGTCAATGGATACAATTTTTTTTTGGGGGGGGGGGGGGGGAGGGTTTGGTGTTGGCAAAAACTAGACAATTTTAATTCAAAAACTTTAAAAATATTGACGGTTAATAAATTTATTAAGATTAATAACTGAAAGTGTAAAAAACAATAATAATACTTTTCTAAATTTTTGTATATACATGTATCAGCAAAATTATAATGTTACGAGGAATTGTTTCTTTTAAACTAAGCACATCTTTTCTTTTTATGTAGCAAGTATATTACATGATTTTTATATTACTTATATGTGTTTGCAAAAACAAGTTTCGTCAATATAGCTTTCTAAACTATCACGTATCATTGTTTGTGTAAATTCCTATGCACAATCTTGAAAATACATTTGAGTAACAACTGTCTTCTAGTTGTCATGACTCAAAAAGTAATTTTTGTGTTCTTTTGGATATTGTTATTAGTAGAATTGAGATTACGATAATATCAGAATCACATCATGTTGATTGTTTGCATTTGTAACCTTATCAAAAATAATATCATTTTGCCGAGAAGAACAGAAGTGATTTTGCGTGAAATCCGTTGCCTACGGAGATAAAGCACCCTCTGTTGAACAGTAACCCTCCACTGTTAGTCCTTTCAATTGATCAGGGGACCGGTATATGTCAAAATGAAAGTTTTCACAAAACAAAAAACCTATGAAACACGTACAAATTGTGACATCGTAAGTATATCGACGCCCGTTGCATTTTGTTTTTATCTTCCTGATGTTGAAGTAGGTTGAAGTAGGTACTAAACACAACCAGTCTTAATTTTTACGAGTAAAACATGTATTATGCAAAAAAAAAAAAAAGAAAGAAAAACAACCTTTTCTTATTCGCTTGCATAAATTTGAGTTTTGCGACCTAATTTTACTCCGGAAAATGAATCGCCCAAAATCCAGTATTTCAAATCGTATTTATAGTTGTTTTTTTTTTTTTTTTTTTTTTTTTTTGCAGAGTCAGTTTATTTTTTTGCGGATAAATTTATAACTGAGGCATCGCCATTGAAATATATATGACGCGAAAAATAGTTGGTTCACAGTATTAGATCTAGCAAAATATACCTAGTTAACATTGATGTTCGACCGTATGCATAATACAGCTTAATACAAACTGAATAGAGGGACTTTATTTTTTCATCTCTTTTATGCTACACATGCGTGCATGTAGGCTTTTATATCTGCCAACATCAAGCCATTCTTAAACCTGATTATTATAATGCTTGCCACATCATATATGACACTTCGCATTCTGCTTAGACAGAGTCTGACACATCTGTTTCATACTTGGATATTTTACTTGTAAAAGGCGTTAATGGTAATCTAACAAACAAGGTAAATGATAAACGTGTTGACTTTAACTTTTTTATCGTCAACTACCCTTACTTATGCAGCAACATACCTTCATCACTTGCATACGAAGTCTATATATCGATACGGAAAGTCATGCTCTATGTATGAACAATTTCTAAATGAAGTAAATTATTAACAAGCAAGTTGGTGAAAAACAATCAACAGTCTCCTTTAAAGTCATCATTTCGTAAATGTTATGGTCTCTACAATGACCTTGTCTTGCTGACTGACGTTTTTCATACTTATTGTTAGTCCATTTTATTCACTGAATTGACGAAGGATTTTACCGTTATTTTCCGATCATGACAAGAAGCACACGGCGGATGTGACTGGTCAGCAGGGGATGCTCACTCCTCAATGGCACATGATCCCACCTCTGATGTTCTGGGGGTCCGTGTTTGCTCTGCTCCTATTTTGTATTGTTTTATGGACTTTGATATTGAATACTGTTCATTATATTCATATCTATCTTGAAAACTTAAATATCATAGACTTAAGCAATTTTTTTTTAAAACGTGAGCTGTAAGGACGCACAAGAAATAATGTTATCATAGATGAAGGTTTAAAAAATACCTTTGTAACCAAAGGGGGGTAACAAAAATATACTTACAAAGAGATTGTCAAATATGTTACTTTTAAGGGAGGAAGTAAAATTACAAACTGTCTCTTCAAACGTTCACTAGAAAAATTACTGGATAAAGGGAATGACTCTATGTATGCTTATAATAAAAAATATGTAATGCATTAATTTCTTAATATTGAAACAGAAAATTTAGTGAAAATACTTGGAAAGAAATGAAATTCTTCTTCGAAAATAAAAACAGAATAATAAGGTCACATGTTTGCAAGAAATGGACTCTCAACACAACATCTGAGGATCTTAAAATATTTTTTTTTTAAAAGAATATGGAAAAGAAAATTTCTCTTTCATTTCATATTTTCCTCGTAAATTCTTTTAAATAAATAACGTATTTACACGGTAATATGAAACATGCTCATTCAAAAAAAAAAAACGTGACTTTGATAACTACTAAACAGGGAAGATATACAATCTTTCAATTATTATATTTTTGTTTGCCTTCGTTTCGAGTTTTGCAAATTAAAGCATTAAAAAAAACGATTAAAAATATCGAGGACTGTGTTAATATAGGTAATATTATATTAAGTCACTATGAAACCGTAGATCTACCTATTACCCCAGTCACATAAAAAATGATATTGTCGATTAATTTATCCTTATTACGTTTCATTTTTGTGTCATCTGCGAGTAGATTTGCAATAAGGAATCACTTGACACTGTGTCGATCTATCCATCTCTCTGTCGGTTTGTCCGTCTGTCACACTTTGTACCTTAAGAAATGAAAATAAGATATGTATCAAGAGAGATTTTTCCTACAGCAAATATGTGACCTTACACTTTTCTGGAATCTTCTAGAAAGGAAGTTGAATAACGTAATATTAAACTTTACCTAAATAGACTATGATAATCCGGAAAGACTGACACGCATGATTCTATGTGGACTTTTCCGGAATGATCAAATTAATAGGGTCACTTCCATAAACTCATATGTCCGAGACAAGCTCGTATATATGGTGTAATCTCAGATTCCCCAAAGACAACAAGATGTATGTTTAAATTGTTTATTGTGGCGCATCTGGCCGCGGTGAATTATTCCAGGGGCTACCACAGGACTGCCCTCAAAATAATAAACTAACAATACCAAATATGTGACGGCCCAATATTGGGCGGATCCAGCACTGGGTATGTCACAAGTGCGTGGATGTCACGAAAACATGTACAATAAAATCCATAGTCAATTACCCTTAAACAATAAAATCCATAGTCAATTACCCTTAAACAGTCAAAGTATTATCTAATGCCCACTTATCAATATCAATCAATAACGCATATTCAATTTAAATTCAATGTACAAATTCAACAGTTCAACTTCAATATAACAATCAACCAATCTAATGAGCTTGATGTGTTGCACTCCTCCAATTGCGTTGAAATGCGACGGAATACGCCACTTGCAAGGGTCATAACCATTGTGTGCTGGCCTAAGCCAATCACAAAGGTTATGGCACTGCAACCGCCACAAATGGGGTGCCAAGAACCATGGTGGCGGCGGCAGTACCCCAACGCAATTGGTCACCACGACCAGGACTTGCTCAATAGTCAATACCAAGGCTTTGTATTAGGGATGGCAATCGATTACAGAATTGCCAATCGGTTAATCGCTAGACGTTCCGACCGATTAACCGGTTAGTCGTATCAAAAATACATATTTATTTGAAAATTATATTTGTTTTTTTTTTTTTATCTTCTAGAAATTCTATTTCAGAAACAGAAAGAAATTCTTTTTTAAAAAGTGCTAAACTGTTGATATTTAATCAGAACAATTTGTGAATTTATTTTTTTATATGACGAAAAAGGATTAAGAAATCACCAAAAACACGCTTTACGTAGTTCATATTTAACAGTTTTTCAAGTCATTCTACAATCGTGATACACTCTTTATTGTTGTCGATGTCATTAGTATTTGAAATGAGTTGCCGATTTTTGTTTAAGAAAATTATTTGATCGACAAAGGCTGATGCAAACGATTCCTACGTTCGTTGATAATAATTTCGGATGTAGAAAATATTCTTTCCGAGGGCACAGCATCGTCTCAAGCAACGCTCTGGAGTCCGCATACATAGCTCTCTCCAGATGGGAGAGGGGCGTACATTTTGGCCGTGGTTTGCGACGATAAGGGCATGTAGATGTTCCTGGAATTGATAAATATTTTTTGCCCAAGCCGGCGAGATTAAGAAATTGTGTCCCATGTTCAGCCCATCATTTCAAATGACCAACACTTTGTGTTTCTTTCTTGTTTATAAACTACGATAATTTACTTTCTGGTGCGCAAGCATATTTGATGCCCCCCCCCCCCCCCCCAGTGTAAGTTAATTCCATCGAACAATTTGACATTTTACAGTTTTTCCATCTACCTCTCTCTTAAAATATTTCCAAGCATGCGATATCGTTGGGGGTGGCATTTTCAATGACAAAAAGTAGTTAGTACTGGTAGTTACAAATTAAAAGTTGTTACACACAAACTTAAACAGTATTCAGTAGTAAATTAATATCATTCAAGCATGACTAGAGAAACGCCGGTTATGTTCATGTCGGAAAGAGGTCGGTGTTTTAACAGTAATTAACACTTATCAAACCGTCCAAAACCCTGGTGTCAATTATACGGTTGACTGTAATTTTCTCCGAATTATTATAATTGGACAACTTTGACACCGTTTAATAACAGTTCAAGATTTGGAATGAAAAATTACAACTTGAGAAATTTTGCGAAAAATACGCATATTTTCATTTTTTGATTCGACTAACCGATTAGAGAATTTGCAATCGATTACCATCGTTCCGACCGATTAATCGATTAACCGGTTAGAAATTGACATCCCTACTTTGTATGCATTCCCCTTACCAAGCATAAGTTGCTCGATCACCCCTTGGAAGTTCTTTAACAATAAGTCTTCCCCCAGTTGCGATAAATGTACCCCATCTCGGTGAATAACCCCTATGTTTACCCTCAAATTGTAAATGTTTTATTTAGACCCAACCCTGTGATGTAATCATCCTAATTGCTTCCCTGTTAATTCTTGCCCTGGCCTTTTCCATCGCTTTGACATTGCTAGAATAACGCCATACATACCTTGGGAGCATACTTGACCAAATTATTTTTAAAATGGGGAATAATTTAGATACCTGTGATAATGTTTCTTTGATATGTAACAATAAGTCCTTCAACTTTAGAAGACCAATATTGTCAGCCCCACAGTGGACTATAACAAGATTGGGTTGGTCTTCTAATCTCTGTAGGAGCTTCAATTTAGGTACCAGTTGACTCAACATCATACCTCCATAGCCCTGCCACCATATGTGTGAGTTAGGTACATTCCGATTGTGACCACCTGTTCTTGCTCTTGCTGTTAAAAAGGCTCTCTTCACGATTGATGATCCAACGATCCAAACTTTAAAATTGTCTGAATTCAAAAACTAGATGAATGATAAGATTTGAATGATTAACGAATGAATGAACAATAAGCATTGGAACGCCATCTCCCCGAATTTTAAATAACCTCCCTTGATGCCCCTTGCTGAGAGTTCTAGGGTTTTAGCAGCAAAACACATTACACAACTATTTCATGTTTTCTGTTGTCATATTTTAACCACTATTTAGAACTAACTACTTAATAAGTATTCAACAAAGCAGAAAATCTTACAATGGCGTTCTTTAAGCAATATATATTTTCTATTTTTTGAAAAAAAAAATGAAATGACTGATGTCTACATGTACAAAGGTTTCTTACATCCCTTTAAGTTACTTCAAATACATTTTCTTATCAACAATTATCTTATCATAAACATATATACTTTATTCATTTAAATACACTATATGTATCTGTGTTTATTTATGTTTTTTTTCCAGAAAATTTAGCATATCAAAAACCGACATGGCAGAGCTCAACTCATGAGAATGAATACAGTGATTCTTCAAGAGCTGTTGATGGTCGTAAAACAGATCTCTCTTTTTACGGAAAACAATGCAGTATTTCTACGAATGAGGAAGACACTGCAACGTGGTGGGTAAATCTGAAGGGGATCCGAGGCATAGAATCCATTGTCATTTATTACAGAACTGACAACTTGGCTTGGAGTACGTTCGACGTTAAAATATTTATCTGATTTACATCTTCGCATTTATTTGATATTTACAAATGAAAATTAAGGAATCAATGCCTTTTAAAATTTGGTGTTTATTCTTAATTGCGAGTATCAAAGAATTAGCAACAATAAATTAAACAATCTTGGATGAATCATTGTATTTACTACTTTTAAAACTTGTTGATTTAAAAACTAACTGGAAAATAATTGCAAATTTGATTTTGAATATGTGTGTGTGTGTTAGGGTGTGTGTGTGAGAGAGAGAGAGATAGGGTGTGTGAGGGTGTGTGTATGTGTGTTGTGGCGAAGGAAAAACTCTTAAGAAAGATATATTGCAACAATATTTCAAATTAATGGTCTCTATAATCCAGAATATTGTTGAAATTTTGGAATCCTGCCATCTAAAAATCTGTCATAAGACGTATAATTACTTTTTAAGAAAATGATTAAAATATTATTTTTCTTTTATTTTTTAAAACAAATTTAAAAAATAAAATTGGAGGAAAATTAATAACGCAGTACTGTTACATGTAAGGCTTCCCGGAGCTTAAAATGCATTTAAACGTAACACTGCATTGCAATGTTTATTTAGATTTTTTTTTTAAGTTATATACTTAAGAAAGACCAAATCATATAGAGCGTTCTCTATGCTATATATAAAGATATTTGCTTCGACATCACATGACCTAGTTGATCGCGTGACGGTCATTTATATTTTATGGAATGTTTCACATAAATCGCTTCGGTGCAGGTTATTAACACAATTATCATTAACTTTTTGTCAGATAAATAAACTCGTTGCATCCTTGTGAACCCGAAATGTACTTGGGAAAAGTCATACTATTTCTTTGATACAAAATAGTTCACATTAACTTTAACTTATCGACAAATCTGAGGGTATTTTCTGATGAAGATCGTCATCTGTTTTAAAACAAAGCCATCATACTTTTTCCCAAGCAGGATTCAGTTAGAGCCGAAACTCCTCTTACGTATTTCCACAAAAGATATTAAATAAATTCTCAAAAATAACCTGCCCCAGGCTCTTTCATAAACATATTATGAATTCTGCCTTTGTTCACGGGTTTAAAAAGGGTAAATGTCAAACGTGTATTCTTGTACGTAGTTTGAACACGCTGACTCTTAAACATGATTAATAAAGCAAAGTTTTTAAAATTATACGGATATATTATATTTCTGAAAAAAAATGATAAGAACACGTTTATTTTAAACTAGCATTCTGTATCTTTATGTGCAGACTGAAATAAGGTGAAAAGTTAATGACACTCTCCCCGTCATTACAACTCAAGTATGCAGTGACTTGACGTCATTTTCAATTATGTTCGAAGAAGTGCTTACATAGAGTACTCTACAATGTTCTCTGGGAAGCCTTATCGTACATGGGAAATTTGAACATCAGGATTAACTTTTTTTCATTTTAGCACTTGTTTCTTCTGTGATTTAATGCGTTTTTAAGAATTTAATAAGCTATTAAAGTAAACCATTGAAATTTTAAGATTCAAGAAATGGTCACGCAGCTAGATTTCTAGGATTTTATGTGTACATTTCAAACACAACAAACATACTCGATGGCCACTTATGTTTTCATGATACAACCTACACCAGGGCTTCGATACCAGCTGTCGCTAACATAAGCTGTCCTGTACACGGACAATACGTCATCTACTATAACGAAAGACGACGTCAAGTTTTTAGCTATCCATCTGGATATTCGTGGTATGCATATATCGAGCTCTGTGAGGTCGAGGTTTTTGGTAAGATAATTTTTTTTTAACAAAACCTCATTTGCATAAATATGTCTAATGGAATAAAAATCAGACCTGTTTTATTGATTTCAAGTGCATATGGAAAAAAATTCAGAACCCATTTAAAGGAAATAGATAAAGTTTTATGTAAAGTAATACAAATTTCATATTACATGTAGAATGATTTTCCTTTACATTGAAAACTACCTTGAAAATTACGATTTTATTAATTTTTGCATAGCATTGTTTCATGATGATTTTTTTCAATAAGAAGTTTTTTTTTTAATAATTATTGATAAATTTGCTAACAATTATTAAAAATATCTTAAGGTTGCTCCGATCCTACACGTTATGGCTCAGATTGTTCTCATAAATGTTCTTCCCACTGCCTCGAATATTGTCACATAGAGTCAGGATGGTGTTCCCAATGTGGACCTGGGTACAAAGGAATTAAATGTGAACAAGGTTAGTATCTATTGTCACACTGCGTTCCTGTCGTTGCGCAGTACAATTTTTTTTTTGCTCGTCTGAGTTGTATATATGATGAAAATCAATCCATCTTTTAACCAACCAATTAAAGTATATTAACTTTTCCTTTTATTTCACGAAATTATATTGAATGAGTGATTTGATCACATTCCGATTTACATAAATAACTTATTTAAAGATACATTAACTAACATTTCAGATGTAATTAAATCTGCGCTTGTAACTTTTTAGTGTCTATTTTTTTTTTTAATCTATGCATCTGTTTATTTATTTTAATAAAGAATGTGGTGATGGTTTTTTTGGGGAGCAATGTAGTAGGACCTGTGGTCATTGCAAACAATTAAGTGAATGTCATCCAGTCAATGGAAAATGTATGCATGGTTGCTTCACAGGATATGAAGGACAGTTCTGCAATAAAAGTATGTTGAAATGATTTTAAAAACTATCTCTAAAAAATTTTTACATGTGGACAAGCACGTAAACCAAACATACCAACTATTTGATGTAGGTATAAAGTTTTCAACGTTTAAACATATGCCTTTATATACTAAAGCATGTACAGGCGGATATTTTGGAGAAAATTGTGTACACAGATGTAATGCCACATGTAAAGGTTGTAACAGGACAAATGGCGTTTGTGAAAATGGATGTCATACGGGGTGGAAAGGAACCTACTGTCATGAAAGTAAGAGGCCTTAGATAAATTTTCAATCTGTGATTATTTCATATGAATTGTCTTTGTTATCTTTACTTCTTATTGAAAAAAAAAACATCATATTATCTGGTCAATGAAATACAAAAGTATGCAATGAGAAAGGATAAGAAAATCCTACAACGATGTTCATGTTTTTTTTTCCTTCTATTTGTCCTTATGCATTGTATATTTAAAAAACACCACTTATAAATAATATTGAGGATCGGAAATATAATGGATACGAATAGAACTTATTAATTAATATTTTTTTTCAGAATGCGACGGGGGATTTTATGGAAATAATTGCAGCAAGGCTTGTGGACACTGTTTTAACTCAGAGCAATGTCAGCCAGTAAACGGGACATGTATGAATGGATGTGATCCAGGATACCTGGGGTTGTCATGCAATGAAAGTAATACTTGCAAACATTTGTTATATTCACAGTTCAGAAAAAAATATTTTTCCATTACCCAAATCTTCAAAAAAAAATATTTTTTATTTATTTCTCATGCCTTTTAGCATGTGAAAACGGAAAATTTGGAAGAAATTGTATTGAAAAATGTAACAGTACCTGCTATGGTTGTAACAAAACAAATGGTAAATGTGAAACAGGGTGTCAGCCAGGTTGGAAAGGTGACTACTGTCATGAAGGTAATCTAGCAAAGGATGTCAGCATTATAAAATCATTCGTAGTAATCCTGATCATCCATTAATGAGACACGCAGTCTCACAGTCTTATTAGTTTAGAAAAAGGAGATGAGCAATTCATCACACTGTCCAAATCCTATGAAATTGAACCAAATGTCATTCAATGAAAATCTTGTCTATTACATTTTATGGAAGGCCTGAAATCATTAAAATTGACTTACTTATCTAAATATATATATATAATCCATCATTTCTATTAATGCAATAAGATTTTAACTTGCAGGTGCTTCTTTTAATGTATCTTAAGTGCATTTTCTTTTATACACAGTCTTAATTTAAGTTTCAGATAGAAGTTATTTGAACTTTGTACAAAAATATCTGAATTTTTATTCATTTGATTACAAAAAGAAGATTTATTTTAATATAATACAGAAATGTAATAACGATGTGCATATGGTTTTGACATTTTAAAAAACAAAACCCGACCTCGCTTTCTTTTTCATATATTTTGATGCATATCAATATCCGAGTGGAATTTTGAGAATAAAAGTTTAAATAGTTGAAAAATGTTAATGTATTTTTTTTCATTTATAAAATTCCAAAAATTTCAGTTATTTAATCAATTCTGATATTTATTTGTTCGACACTTCGCCAAAAAGAAATCCTTATGGTTTTGTTTTCTAAATAAAATCTATTAGAATGTGACGGCGGTTTCCATGGAAATAATTGCAGCATGAGTTGCGGTCACTGTGTAAACTCAGAACAATGTAATCATATTAACGGGATGTGTATGAACGGTTGTAATGAAGGGTATGAAGGAATTACATGCAATGAAAGTAAGTTGCATTGAATTCTAACTGATTTGGTTTTTCTTCAAAGATGCTATTTTCTCAAAAATACGCTAATACGATTAATTTTTCAAGTCTTATATGCCTTTCAGCTTGTAAAAACGGAACATTTGGACAAAACTGTATTGAGACGTGTAATAGTGCGTGTTATGGCTGTAACAGAACTAATGGTAAATGTGAAACTGGGTGTCAGCCAGGTTGGAAGGGAGATTACTGTCATGAAGGCAAGCGATCTATTTCACTTTGTTTGTTTTTACCATAAATACACTAAGAACTTTTATAGCTTGACACATTAAATATGAAAAAAATATTTAGCAAACATCCGTTATACAATTTAATTGGATCATTCTTGACAATTAATCCGAGCATCTGCCATCCATTTCGAATGCTTGTTATAATCTACCATCCATTTTAAATCATTGTTATTATATAGGCATGTTTTGCAGAATATTCTGTTGGATTTAACATGCAAAAAAATCATATCTAAAAGTCACCCTTTACAAGATTTCATTTCCAATTTAATTTGATTGTGCTTGTCTTTAAACAATATTTGATTGGATATTCTTAATTATACGAGTTCGGGATTACATGCAGTATAAATGTAACATGTAAATTTTAAATCTACACAATAAACTCTTAGAAATAAAAATGCGACATTAAAAATCTAAGCTTTAATAAAAATCTGTATTATAAAAATAATTCACACTTACACACTAAAGAATATATGCAAATTTCCTTCTTTTATTTAGAATGTAAAATATTTGATATTTCTTGCAGAATGCGATGAGGGATTTTTTGGAGAACAATGTAATACATCTTGTGGACATTGCAGAAAAACAGACGAATGCCATGCAATTAATGGGTCGTGTTTAAATGGTTGCTCTGAAGGATATGAGGGACAACTATGCATTGAAAGTAAAATATGAAAGAAAATAAGAGAGACATTTTTCAGTTAAACTTGTATATTCCGGAAACCCCAGGTTTCATTGAAATTTACGGACAAGGGAGCTTTCAGTGATAAATATCTTCTGGATTACATAAATTACACTTCTCATAGAAATGTTAAATATTTTATTTCTCTTAAAATGTCTAGCTTGTTCTTATGGATTCTTTGGAGAAAATTGTCTCAACACCTGTAACGATACATGTAACGGGTGCAACAGAATAAATGGTGTTTGTGACAGTGGATGTCATTCCGGTTTGAAAGGAGAATTCTGTCATCAAGGTAAAATTAAAGAAAAATATTCTCAAAATCTCAAACTCAAATAACAAATAAAATTATCAGTTATTTTATTTTCTCCTTTTCCATTTACTCATTTAATCACTTTTTTAAAGATAGTTTTGCCATAGCCAGAAAAAAAAAAAAAAAAAAAAAACGGTAGTAAGGTCTAAAAATATACCAAATAATAATGATAGATCTCACCGAGTATTTTTTTTTTATTTTTCATTATTTTTTTACTTTGTCAATTATACAACGATTAAAAAAAGTTTTTCCATATTTGTTTTTTTAGAAAAAGAGAGTGTATAAATGCATAAATTTGTTCTAGAATGCGATGGTGGATTTTACGGAATTAACTGCAGCATACTTTGTGGAAACTGTGATACCTCAGAACAATGCCACCCGATTAATGGAACATGTTTACATGGTTGTGATGAAGGGTATCAAGGGATTTTCTGCAATGAAAGTAAGATGTCAATGACGAATTTAAAAAAAATATATATATAAAATTTACTACCTTTAAAAAATGTTCGGATATTTACAAGATAAATGGTTGCTTCCTTATATTACACTTTAGCATGTGAAATTGGAAAATTTGGGAGAAACTGTATAGAGATGTGTAACAAAACATGTTATGGTTATACATGTAACAGCACAGACGGTAAATGTGACAATGGGTGTCATCCAGGATGGAAAGGAGATTTCTGTCACGAAGGTATACCTTAAAATTATAATAATAAAACTCTACACTGCTTAGATTTTTAATTATTTATCACTTTTTAGAGAAAATGGGATGATTGTAGTAGAAACAATTATAAATGCCAATGTAATTGGTAAAATAATAAAAAAAAAACTTTAAGTATGTAAACATTTTTACGCCTAGAAAGAAGAAGTTTTCTTTAGAAGGAAATAATTAATGGAACATGTATCATAATGTAAATTTATTCTGGTCCATGTAGAAAACCTTTAAATCAAAGCCCATTAAGTAAGAAAATAAGTACAAAATAAAAGATTGATACTTTGAGAAAAAAAAATAATGGGAACTTACCTAGCTAGTGATAATTACGATGTAGATATTCAGGCATTGTCAGGCAGGGAAATTACTAGTTGTATCATGAAAGAATGAATTAGACCATTGTTTTAGATTTGAAATATTTTCAAATAATGACTTTAGAAGTAGGATGAGGTAAAATAGGCATTCCGTATATCACCTTAGTTTAGTCCGAAAAAACGGAGAGGTATTTATACATTGCACTGTGTAAAGGATAACATCACACCTGTGGACAGGAAAGATAATTTTTGTAAGTTGATAAGGCGTCATAGAAGTATGTAAATTAAAGTTTAAATATGTCGCGAACTCTAGGGATTAGGTCTGTTCAAAAAACATTGGAGAATTGTTTTCTCATGTGAAGAAGTTGACGTTGTTTTTAAGTTTCTTGAACGGCAAGACAAAGTTGACCAAGGTGTTCCTTTGCAACTTTAGTCTGGGATTTGTGTCTGCTCAATAGCCTGAGTCAATATGTTATTTTTCATATCTAAAGACTGTGATGATGGGTTCTATGGCAA